TCATTCCAGCTTCCCACTTCTACCCACCACCACTAACTACTGACCGTGGCTACTTGGTGGCAGTCCAATACTATTTTCATTATTTACCAGCCACTGCGACAAATGACCGCCCAACTGAAGCACCACCACCACAAACACAGCAGCCGCAATTTCATGAACAACAGCGTGTTTATCAAAATTTACTTTCATTTCAACAACCAAGTGAACAATCAATTCAAAAACCACAAGAATGGCAACAACAGCAGATAAATCTACAACATAAACAGCTAAAACAACAACATCATCATCATCATCAGCAGCAGCAGCAACAACAACCAGCAACAGAGGCACTACTCTTATCGCCTGATAGAGTGTCTGATCGCATAGTTGATGCCTGCAACAACAAAACCATGCACACTCATGACGATAAGGCTGGTCACCAAGGTGATGATTATTCTGACGATGGTGTGGATATCACCTCGGATGAAGGTGATAACGAACCTGGTGACAATGATTCACGAGTTAACCAGAGCAATGTTGGAAGACGCACTACCGTAAAGAAAAAAACTGCTACTCAGTATTGTAGCGAAAACAAGATGATCAAACGTGACAAAATAGTCAAATCCAAAAAAGATTCTCGTAAAATGAAAGAAAGTGTTCAAAATGTTAAAAATAGTTCCCACCATCTCATTTTGGCTTTCTTCGGCTTCATTGTGCTGCTCAACTCGCTGGCTATCACAGCATTCTGGAGTTGGAAAACACCAGCTGATAATCGGAGCAATGATGATCAGTGGCTCTGGTGGTGATTGCTGATGCTATTTAATGGGTTTGTTAATTGACGCTTGTTGCCAAAGTATTAACTGATGGTGGTGATTGGTGGAAGGGTTGTGTGTGTTGCTAAAAAGATGGTCTGATGGATGTCGGACTATCTGGATTATACAACTTGGATGCTATTTATTATATAGTTGAGTTAATTGTACGCTGACGAGTTCGTCACGCTGAGTTGTGATGTTGGTTCGATGCAAGTCCAACTTCAAATGCGTTTTTATGAAGCTGGCGTTTTTTACATTGCATAGAAATATTAATTAGTTGATTTGGTTTCCTGTTTTGTTTTTGTTAAAATAAGATAAAAGACATGCATTACTATTATTTGCCCTGAGTTTGAGTTTTAAAACGCAGTTTTTTTTATCATTTTTGGTAATATTTACTGTTTTTTTAGTTTCTGCATTCTATATTTCGAGTTCGAGTATTTGCTATTCAAGTATATAAGCGGGTTATATAAGCGGCCCTTCAAAAGAAAAATAGTTCTCAATGCGGCCCTCACAGCAAAAACTTTGCCCACCCCTGCTATAGAATGAATGATGTGTATATGTACAATCTGATTGCAGGCACACACGTGAACAACTTGCACATCTGTGTAAAATGTACATACATACATACATACATACAATGTACACACGTGAAATGAATGGTTTGACTTCAACGAAATAATAACGCGCGCGCACACATATAAAGATACAAAAGTATACATATTATAACTATGTGTATGTATATATATATATATAATTATTGTCACGGCATTGCAGACATTGTTCAATTTACAACGCGGTAGTAATATTTTTTTAATATTACACACACACACACACACACACACACACACACACACACACACACACACACACACACATATATATATATATATATATATATATATATATATTGGATTGAGACTATCTGATAAGCGGTTTTAAAATATCACAAAATGCATGCGCTGTTCGCTGTTCGTCATAAATAACATTTTTATTCATTTTTTTTTACATTTTCGTTCAAAAATTTATGCCCATTTTAACATTAAAAAATTTTCTGACAATCATTTTCCATCATCAGTTATGGATAGGGGTTTTGTTTTAAAACCAAACAGACGCTGATGCTGACAAACAGACTCTAAAACAAAACCCGCAAAGGATATTTTCAACAGTTTCCAAATGATTAATAATTTGTCAAAAATAGAATAAGTTTTAATCAGCTAAGGCTTTGTTTTAATCAGCTTAAGCTTTGTCTCTGCAGTTATATTCAATTATATTTCCGCACGAGCTTTGTTACTCTTTTTGTCCTGAAATATTGCATTGCATTAACAAGAGTTTCAATTGTCATTCGTTCGTTCATTCATTCGTACGTTCGTTCGTTCAATCGTTCGTTCGTTCGTTCGTTCGTTCATTCATTCCTTCATTCATTCATTCATTCATTCATTCGTACGTTCGTTCGTTCATTTATTCGTTCGTACGTTCGTTCGTTCATTCATTTATACAAACATTTATACGTTCGTTCGTTCGTTTGTTCGTTCATTCAAGAGTCACGATTATGTGAGCGACAAATAACTAAACAATGTGTAACTCAACATCGAATAAATATACACATCCTGGTTTAAATAAAAATTTAAGTTTTATAGCCAAAAACTTGTCGTTTGTTTCACGAGAAATTTTTAAAGAAGCTTATATTTAAATATCCCGTACAGGTTAATAAAAATTTTGTCGTGATATGTTGTTGAAAAACTGTAAGAAACGCTTCAGTTATTGAAATTGTTTCATTTAGTTGGACACGAATTTTTTGCTTACTAGCAAAAAACCAAGCATAACCAATCGATTAAAATATTTATAACAAGCCGTTTAACATATTCTGTGAAACACGACAGGATGAAATACTTTGTAACAATAATGGTCATTTTGAGGACATTGCTTTTGTCTGTTAGAGCACAAACACCTACCGACAACAAATGTTACATTCCATCTTTACATCAAAGTTGCAACCACACTGGCCAAGTCTGCCTCACAGACTTCTGGTACAATCAGAGCCGCTACAAACATCTGAGTGACAACTACGCTGGAACATCGAGCAGCCGAGTTCTCTACTTCCTGATAGACGACAACGTTCAATATAACGGGGAGGCAGAGGCACAGAAGAAAATTAAATACTTTTTTAACAGATTTTCAATGTACCTCACAAAATTTAGTAGCACATACTCGCAGATATTCTGCTACAAATTTGATAAAAATGGAGATAATCAACATTTATGGAACACGACGACTCCATCCGCATTCACGAACAAGACTTTTGACAATTTTTTAAATTCATATGTTCCTGCAAAAAACGTAACTGAAACTGAAAATGCCGAAAAATTGACTGATGGCGTGGAAAGTTTTTATAAACTTGCACTGAGAAACTCACAATCGGGAAACGACAAAAAAATTTCTCTCTGGGTTCTCAGCGATGTAACAAAGGATCCATGCAAAGGCGACTATCAAGATCAAACTAAATATGCCAGAGAAAAATTTTTGTCTAGCATCACAGTCTTCACTGCTGCAGTGGGCAGTTGTCCGGATGGTTGGTTTAATAGTGCGGATAAAGAGAATGCCATGCACAACCTGGCTACCAGCAGGCAGCACTCCGCCTGTCTCGAACGATGGATATCTGAATTTTCAAGTAGGAAAATATTTTTATTTATTGCTCTAAAATTTTAATTAAATGAATCGGACAGAAACAGTCGTTAAAATTTCAAATTTATATTTCATAAAATAATTACATGAAATATATTCAAAATTCACACTTTTTTTGGCATTTGTATTTTGTACTTTTTTTTATAAATTCCATTAAAAGCCTGTGTAAACAACGAAACATTAATTTATTTCTTCAACAGATTTTGAAGTTAATGCAGACGTTAAAAACTGCTTTGAAGGTATCACGTCTAGACCTGTTAGCCGAATATTTTTAGATGTTTCGCTAACAAAAAATTTCGGCTAAAAATTCGGCCCGTCGAGTTTCATTCTAATAGACGAATTATTCATCGGCTTTTCTCGGCTAAGAGCTGGAAATCAAAATACTTGTTTAATTTTATCTATGACCATGAATATATATTTTATATAATATATCCATGCTCATAACACACAAACAGCATAGTTGATTAACGTTTGAATAATTTTTATTTTAGAAACAGAAAATAGTTTTCAATATTTCAAACATTGTTACATATATTCACAAAACCATCACTATCATCTTCTTCATTACCACAACCATTTTCATCATCATCTTCTTCACCATCACAAATATGAAATTAAAACATTCAATAGTAAATTTGATACCATCCACTGTCTCACCAGTTACATACAAACAATCGCTTGTTAGAATGCAGAGCGCTCTTGTTATCATACAGGAACAAAATTTTTCTACATTGTTTGATGACAATGAAAACCTTTTGCAATTTCAGATAAGAGCTGCAATAGAAAACATTAATTTTACTGTTACACTTGAATAACGCACACCTATGTAAACTTGTGTAAATTGAGCTAAAGAAGGTAGGTGAGGGCTATTTTCCTCCCAAAACAACAGCGCATCACCTACATAAGAATCTAAAGTGTAATACAAATTTATTTCTTTTGTTAGATGTCTTGTATTGTTTTATCTGTTCTGATTGTATTTCTTTAAATAACTCATCATAGTCTTTTTTTGATAGCTTCATCTTCTTATCTTAAATCAACAATGTTTTTCAGCATTTTCACGAATACTAGCATCTGATTTTGGATCTAAATATAAAGTCTTCTCTATAACAATTCATTTTTACCAAATTACTTATAACTACTTAAATAATTTTTGTAGTTTTTACTTTTTCTGTCAAGTTTCTCGCACCTGGATCAGAAATAAGTTCTATCTTACATATTTCTGATTCTTGCATTTTTTAACAACAATGACAATACAAAAACTTTGAAGACAATTTTTATAATATTTGATGTTTTGTATTCTATATAACTAAATCTTTTCAATTTGCTAAAAAAAATAATAAAACTATTGAAACTTTATTTTGTGCCACAATTGAGCGTTTTATAAGTGTCAAATTAACATTCGGTGGCTAGTTAGGCTAACCAAAAAATTATTCAGCGACTGACGGCTAAAAGCAAAAAAATTGGCCGTGGCGGCTAACGGCTGACAGGTCTAATCACGTCTCCAACTACAATTTTAGATAGGAAGGAAGTGCTGGTAGGAATTATTGTAGGGTCAGTTGTCGGTGGTTTGGTGATACTTCTCCTCATCATCTTTCTGGTCTGTTACTGCTATCGTAGAAAAAGAAACGGCAAAATTAGTGGACTAAAATGTCTGAACTTTTATTTTTGCAACTGTCTATGTTTAAAGCGAGTGACACCGCCGATTCCGCGAACAGGTCACCCAACTCCGCATAATGATGCAGGCAGCCATGTTTCACATGATTACAATAATGCCAAAGATTTGAATCGAGATTCTGGTTTAAGGTTCGTCTTGATAATTCGTTGATGCAAAAATTTAATTATTTTTTTACTTCAAGACTGGATTTGCTTCTCGTTTTGTTTCTCTGAGAACTTAACCCAAAAATTTCACCTAAAAATTTATTAAAAAATTTTTAATCTCCTGCAGCGAATTCAGCAACGTTTCAAGCGTCACGCAGATAACGACGACAGGATCAAGCGACGATTCTCGTCAGCTACCATCAATTGAAACAATTGCGTCTCTCACTGAGTCAATTGGTGATAGTAATAATAATAATAATAATAATAATAATAATAATAATAATAATAATAATAATAATAATATTCGTCAGAAGTCTTCTCAGGTTTGTGACTATTTACAATCACTAAGCGATGTACTTATTTTATTCAGTATTCACTATGCCTGTTCAATGCTTCAAAGCAGAGTTTCAGAGTCAGATGAAAAATATCTGACACCAACCCCTTCAAAAATTCCCATTCCACAAAAATCTACAACTCCGACACTCTACTTCAAAGTAGGGGAGACTGGGGTCGAATGGACCAGGTACCGAAAGGACCTTCGAAATTAAAAATAGTAAACATGCGCTAACATTTTTTTAAAATTTAAATTCATATACGTCTCTTGGCTTTCTATAACCAGATGTAAATTTTATTAAATGTTTTTAGTAGCCGATTTAACTGTTTCACTTTTCCTTTTTTTGCGAGAAAAAGTGAAATATTCGTCTGTTTCTTTTTGAGTGTTTTAGAAAAATTTCGAGCGGTATGTTTTTGTTTTTTTGTCAGTTTCTATAAAATAATGCTTTCTGAACACGATAGTGTTGATTTGACACCTTTATCCTTTTTAATTTATTTGGCATGTCCGTTTTAGTGTCCAACTACCATGTGGTACAGGATGGACCAGCTTTGTGTGTACAGAATGAACCACTCTAATAAATACTAATACTTATATAAAGAATGATACCCTGGTCACAGTGGTTTATTAGTAATTGGAATTGAATCCATATCTAACTAAATATCAATTACTTTTGTAATTTCAATTTTAATAATTATTAATTATGAATTTTTAATTTAAAAATTAAAAAGTTCTAGATATCTTTTGCTCCAATTTTCAATTTTAATAAAAAAA